CACTGTCCTCAGTCATCCGGAGCAGCTCCTCTGGAGGATTCTCTGTTTTTCTCTGTGACTGAGCACTTGGCATCCCACCACCTGGCTGAAGACTCGCTGAGCAATTTCTCATTTTTGTTTTGACTGATTTGTGGTAGGAGTTTCTTTGATGGGGAGGCCCGTGGTTTAGACTGTGAAGCCCTCATGGATGTAACACAGAACTCTCTTAAGGGTTTTGAGTATAATGCATGTGCCAGTTTCCCTGTCAAAGCATCTCAGTGATTTCATTGTGTGTATTTGTGTGAAAAGAGAAGACAGAAACAGGGCAGCTCTCAATGGCCAAGAGGACCAAAGTGCTAGTTTTCCAGGACTCCCACTCACGACAAAAAACCCGACTGAAAACCATCATGAAGAGTCTGTTTTTTCTATCAACAAAAGCCTGCAGTATCAAATGAGAAGAGGCTCAAAGTTTGTGCTTTCACCAAACAAACCTGACTGTGGTGACTCAGCAGGCGGGTAAATCACACCATCATAAAAACGCCTCAAACCCTCCCATGCCTTTCTCGCTCCGGCTCTGGAAAGCAGAGTGGATCCTGAAGAGGGAGCTTGTGTTTGTGTGTCCATTATCAAGCTAACCCATCTCCGCTCGGTGCTGAGTGCTCCTCCGAGGTGTACAGTAAAGCCAAGCAGGCCGGACAGAGAAAGGACTCTATTCATAACGTGACTCACGGCAAAAGTGCAGCCCTACCTCCAGCTCTGGTTTCTGTACGCCTTTTGTCTCGCACCACTGATCGAGGACACAAAATGGGTCTGGAGGGAACCTAACACCAGGACCTCATGTTTCTCATTGCTACAGTCACAGGACTAAAATAAAGCAAGCAATATTGAAAAACCTTCAAAATAACCCTTTTTTTATTATGTCGGCAGCCTGTCCATGAAGCTCCTGTCTTTTGGGTTATGAAAATCTCGTTACACCCATGAAACTAAATCCACCACCTTTAACCTGCTATTAGCTAGTGTTACCTTCTCCCTGTAACCTTTAAATAGGAATTTCCCGCTACCACTTGAAACAGTCCCAGGTGGTCTGCCCAGTAAAGCAATGCCACTGACCTGGTAAGGTGAGAAGAATACCTTCCTCTGAGTAGCTTTTGCTCTGTGAAGTATTGGACCTGAGTATTTCATTTTGCAGAGGCTTGTAAGCAGAGCCTTTTGCTGAAGGAATGCTACCGATTTGGGATGAGATCTGTGTGCTACCAAACCTGTCCTTCACTATCAAAGACAAACAGCACCTGAGAAAGATCACAGGCTCAGAGGATCGGAGTTAGTGTGTCGTGTATGATGCACATGTTTCTGTGAGTGTTTCCCTCTGTAGTTGTATCTTAAATGTAATTATTTGTAGTATTGTAGTATTTGCAGACAGATTGCAGAATCCTTTAATTTACAAACCAGGGGCATCTTGTTTTGAGAGCAAAAGCAGCAACAGGCAAAAATTGGCCTCTTAGGTTGGAAATTGAAGTCTAGGTATAAACCTCAGGGTAAAAGTTCATAAACTGTTTTAAATCTTCCACATTCAAAATATTTAATATATCGCTGCCTAAGAGGAGTTTGACCTGACCATTGCATGCACTCTTCACCTAAGTAAATCAAAACAGAGAGGCTCTCTAACAAAAATGGAGGATTTGTACAATCAGAGCCATCCTGAGCAGCCATTGATGACACCAAAACATTGAACAATTATTCTGGCATAAATTTAAGTTAGGGTCAAACACATGGTAAGACCAAGTTAGATATCCCCTTGGGAGATGAATGCTGCAAACTGCTTGCTTTTCTAGTTATACCAACTTGAGTAACGACTGCACGATAGCAATACACAGTGGTCTACGTCTCCAAACACGAACCTCAACCAAAAAGCCACTCTATAGCCACAAATAATGCTCAGAACTGCACCTAACTTCATCAACAGTACATATAGGGTCCCAGCCATAGTACTAGCCATCAAACATCTTTTTAGCTTTACCTGATTACTTCAGCAAAGAGACCAAACAAAACTCACCCACTCTCCTCCAGAGTGCAGCAGAGTTTCGCAGCTCAAGAAAGAACATTTAAGAATAATCAATTGTCTGTTGTCTCATATAATATGTCTATAAAAGTTATCTATTATTTACATAAAAATTATAAAGCCAGATGGCTGTTGGTACAAAAGATCTTCTGAATCTCTCTGTCCTGCAGCGAAGAGAGAGGAGCCTTCCACCACCATTGGCCCTTTGGTCCATCAAGGTGTTGTGAAGTGGGTGATCCATGATCCATGAGAATAGTCTCCACCTTCCTCAGTGTAAATCTCTCCACCATATCCTCCAGCCTGAGTCCTACCACAGAACCAGCCTTTTTCACCAGTTTGTTAAGACATCTTGCATCTTTGTGTTTGATGCTTCCTCCCCAGCAGACTGCAGCGTAGAACAAAACACTTGCCACCACAGACTGATAAAACAACTGCAGCATCTTACTACAGATGTCTACTGATCGCAGTCTTCTTTGGCAAAAGAGGCGGCTCTGCCCCTTTCTGTAGATGTAGTCTATATTCTCAGACCAATCCAACTTATTATCTAGATATACATCTAGGTATTTTTATGGTGTCACCACTTCGATGTCCACTCCACAGGTGTTCACTGGCTGAAGAGGGGGTTTGGATCTACGGAAGTCTATGACCATCTCCTTTGTCTTTGAGGTGTTGAGGAGGAGGCAGTTTTTGTGACTCCAGTCACTGAAGGCTCTTATTAGATTTCTGCATTCAGCTTGTTTTCCATGATACATGCCACAATTGTGGTGTCATCTGAGTATTTCTGGATGTGGCAGGACTCAGTACTGTATTTGAAGTCTGACGTGTACAGTGTGAACAGGAATGGCGCCAGCACTGTCCCTTGTGGAGCCCCTGTACTGCTCATTAATGTCCCAGAAACACAGTTCCCCAGCCTGACAAACTGTGGCCTTCCTGTCAGGTAATCTGTGATCCAGGAAACACAGGAAGGATCCACTCTCATCTCTGTGAGCTTGTCTTTGAGTATGGTGGGTTGGATGGTGTTGAATGCACTTGAAAAGTCGAAGAACATGATCCTCACATAAACCCTGGTTCCTCCAGATGAGACAGGGCACGGAGAAGCATGTAGGGGACAGCATCATCCACTCCAATGTGATCTCTGTATGCAAACTGCAGGGAATCCAGTTTGTCTTTGAACTCAGACCTCAGAAGGCGTAGAATCAGCCGCTCCAGGGTTTTCATGATGTGTGAAGTGAGGGCCACTGGTCTGTAGTCACTGAGTTCAGCAGGACATTTTGTTTTTGGTACTGGCACAATGCAGGATGTTTTCCACAGAGCAGGTACCCGCCCCAGCTGTAGACTTAGGTTTAAGATCTTGTGGAGAGGATGACACAGTTCTGCAGCACAGTCTCTAAGCAGCCTTGGACACACACCATCTGGACCAGCTGCCTTCCCAAGACAAAGTCTTCCAAGCTCCATCCTCACCCCTGTTTCACTGACAGACAATGACTGGTGTTCTAGGAGGGAGGCAGTTGAAGTGGTTGAGACATTTGAACAAGATGGAGGAGGAAGGGGAGGGGTTGTAGTGGAGATTTGTTGCGGAGAGGAAGGTGGTGTAGCAGTGGAAGTGGGAGTGACAGCAGTGTCAAATCTGTTGAAGAACAGGTTGAGTTCATCAGCTCTTTTCACATCAACCACCACTGGCTATCTTTTCTTTTGACTGCTGTGTCCAGAGATGGTACTGATTCCTCTCCACACTTCACGGATGTTGCTGTGTTGTAGATTATTCTCTATCTTCTTTTTGTACTCCAGCTTTGCCATCTTCAGTCTCCTCTTCAACTCTTGTTGCACTTGTTTGAGTTGTTCTTTGTCACCATCTTTAAAAGCTTTCTTTTTCTGGTAAAGGATTGCTTTTATGTCTCTTGTGATCCAGGGTTTGTTGTTGGGGAAACAGCAAACAGTCTTTGTGGGCATAACTGTGTCTCTACAGAAGTTGACATAATCAGTAAAGCAGTCCACCTGTTTATCAATGTTCATACTATCCACATCTGTTTCCAGCAGCACATTCCAGTCTGTTGATTTAAAACAATCCCTTAGAGCTTCACTGGCTTGAGGTGTCCATCTTCTGATTTTGACTTTGGTCACAGGCTGCCTCAGTACACAATGTCTGTAACAGGTTTGGAGATAGACCAAGTTATGATCTGACTTGCCCAGTGGTGGTAAAGCAGTGGCTCTGTAGGCTTCTTTGACGTTGGCATACAGCAGATCCAGGGTCTTGTTTTCTCTGGTAGGACAGTTCACAAACTGTGTGAATCCAGTCAGGTGAGAGGAGAGGGTTACATGGTTGAAGTCTCCCGATATTATTATTAGTGCCTCAGAGATTTTCTCTGCTGCTGAACAAAACCTCCTTCTGGAGTTATATGATGATTACTGTGATATAATAACTAAAAAAGGTAACACCGCTCAAATAAACAAAGCGAGAGAGGCAGCATGGAAGACAATTGCTGACAGGCTGAATGCGTAAGGGATGTTTTATCCATTCATTATTTCAGATGATAATCCCGTCTCAATGTTAATGATACAACCTGTTTAAGAAAACAGAATTGTAATTTAGGCTGTAAAATTAAAGAAATTCACTACAAGACAAGTTTTAGGCTACAGATAGTGATTTAATCAGATTTATAATCTGAGTTGAAGTGGCTATAATCAAATTGTTTTATATGCAAAACATTTATCACACAATTGATCATGTATTATCTCATTTACCTAATTCCCCCTATTTAGAGGAGTGCTGTTTAAATGTTTGCAGGGGTTAATTGATTCTCTTGTTGCATAAAAAGGAGCTACAAATAAATGTGCCTTGCCTTGCCTCTACAATGTGGGGTGGGGGAAAAAAGTGGCTAGGCCAAATAAATGGACATGACAAGGAATTCAACAAAATAGGGGGGTTGGGTTCAAGAGAAATAGGTGTCCCTGTACAGATTCCTCAGGATCCTCCCATCTCTGGGTCCCTGTACAGGGGCAGGCTCTTCCCATCTGTCTTCGGGGAGAAGCTGTGGAAGCCTCTCCCTCCGGATGGTGGCTATGTTGTGGAGTACTGCGCACGCAACCACTATGTCACAGGCCCGGTCAGGAGCCCGCCTCAGATATTTTAAGCACTGGAACCTGCAGAGATTGGAACAAGACGACATGTTAAAATGAAATTTTGTACAAAGATATTTTCTGCATTAAAGGTTGATCAAAGCAGTCTTTAACCCAGACTTGAGCAGGCAAAAAACCATCTCAATTCGTGCCGTGGTGGTGCTGAGGGCATTATTAAAGGCTGCCTCAGCTGCAGCCCTTGGCTCAGGATATGGGGTTAAAAGGTATGGGAGGCAGGGATAACCCCTGTCCCCGAGAAGGACCCCCTCAAACCCCCCTGCAAGGTGAGAAAACAGTGGCTATGAATTACATGATTCATTCATTCATCTTTGCAGACCCTCATCCATGCTAGTGTTGAGACATGATGAAGGTTGTCTTACCTTGTGCAAGCCTTTGTGCCAGATGGCTTTCCCTTAGTATCCTAGCATCATGGACACCGCCAGGCCATTTGGCCTCCATGTTTGTGATGAGCAACTTAGAATTACAGATCATCTGTCAGCATGCAGGGTGACATCAGTGACACTGGACACTAGCAGTAGGACATGTACAGTAGCTCCATAGGCTATGTACCTGCACATTCAGGCTGTGGTTATTCCTTCGATCCACAAAGTCCCTTTCCACAGGTCCAGGTGGGGCCTGGATCTGGATATGCGTGCAGTCAATGCAGCCAAGGACATTGGGAAAGCCTATGTGAGAGGATAAAAGTGCCATATGTCAACCTGTGGACCATTTCACTTCACATTGCATGCATTTAAATGTCACATACCTGCAATTGCATAAAATCCCTCTTTGATCCTTTGTATCCCATGATGGCTTGGGAAGGTGATGAAGATATTGAGGAACTCTTTAAGGGCAAGACAGACTGCTCTTACCTGTAATAAAGGTTTTTTTTGTTCATTTACTAATTCATATCCATGTCATGTGATCATCTTGCAACCTATGTATGATGTTTGGTGATGTAAGAAATAATCCAACTGATCTAAGTAGGCCTACCTCTCTGCAAACAGTTGCTTTACTTAGTCCCTCAGCATCTCCAACACTATACAGAAATGTACCGCTGGCAAAGAACCGCAGTGCAATACATACAGATTGCACAAGGGTCAGTGATTGGCTGCGGCTAGTGACCTTCCTTATGTGTGGCTCCAGCAAAGTGCATAAATACACTATGCTTTGCCGGCTGAATGGATACCTCTCCCACAGGAAAGAATCACTTTGTTCCAGTGGGTTAGTCCTCTCCTGGAAGACCCTTGGGGCTGGTGGTCGCCTGAAGAAGGCCCTTTGAATTATTTGTGCCCCTTCATCAATTGGCTCCTCATCCTCAATGAATGGACATGCCATGTTCTCTTAGTCTTTGTCTCTGCTGAATGTGTGTCCCCCTGCCTGTCTTGACTGCTCTGCTTAATAGTCTACACCTTGCCATCGTTGACTCTCAGGTGCAGTCGATTGGAGGACATTTTAGGTGACTGATGAAGGCTTCCTCTATGTGTTTTAATCATACCTTTAAATTTATTCATTGTTATTTATTTTATTTTATTTTATTCATCTTTATCTATAAAGATGCAATCAAGATTAACGAAAACGGATTGATTTTTATTTTTTACAAAATCATAATACTTACCAAATGCACTTTTTGCTTAGTTTACAAAGTGGATGGAAAGCATGTTTTGGTTTCACGAATTATTTTATCAGTGCATTGTGTATGTAAATGCAAAACAGACATGTCTTTTGGACATTAGTGGAGTTAATCTTCACCTTAATCCTGCTCCAGACCAGGTTTGGCCGGCAGCATAAGTCACCATGGTCACAAGGCTGGCATTCGTGTTAACCACTTTGATGGAACAGAATTGAGGCTCAGGTTGATGGAACAGAAAGTCAGAGCTTAGCTCCAAGTGTCAGGCTTAGCCAGAACCACGTTTCCATGGTTACCAAGTTGGAGCTAATCTTAGCCACATTGGTGAAACTCAACTCTCACTAAAATAAACGAGACTTGGCCATTAAAGCCAGACTTTGAGCTAAGTGAGCTTGATGGAATACCCCCCGATGTCCTCTGGAATTGTATATTGTTGTCCAGATTTGCTTTTCCTCAATGAAGGAAGCTCTTCTCTTGAGTAAACCCTTCACCCAGCAGAAGTATCCATCAGCAGCCAACAAAATTACAACAAAAATATGAAAAAAATCTCACATAAATTACAAAAATTACACATAATACAGAGAGACCACATTTGCAGCAACCTCTTGGTTCAAGCGCATCATTTAAAAGGTTATTACTTATTTATCATTATTTATTAATTATTTGTTATGATTATTACTTAATGGAAATGCAATCAGACTAAGATGCTTAGGGAGAAGAACTACTGCATCTGCAGTGCAAAATGATTATTATGATGATTATTACAAAACCCAATTTCATTGAAGTTGGGAAATTGTGATAAACGTAAATAAAAACAGAATACAATGATTTGGAAACCCTTTTCAACCTATATTCAATTTAATACTCTACAAAGACAAGATATTTAATGTTCAAACTCATAAACTTTATTTATTTATTTTTGTTGCAAATAATAATTAACTCAGAATTTCATGGCTGCAACATGTGCCAATGTAGTTGGGACAGGGGCATGTTTACCACTGTGTTACATCACCTTTCCTTTTAACAACACTTAATAAACGTTTGGAAACTGAGGAGACTAATTGTTGAAGTTTTGAAGGTGGAATTCTTTCCCATTCTTGCTTGATGTACAGCTTCAGTTGTTCAGCAGTCCGGGGACAGCTGTCATATTTTGCGCTTAATAATGCACCACACATTGTCAATGGGAGACAGGTCTGGACTGCAGGCAGGCCAGTGATACAAATAAAGGCCACAAGGCCAGTGCGAGTACCCGCACTCTTTTACTATGAAGCCACGCTGTTGTAACACATGTGGCTTGGCATTGTCTTGCTGAAATAAGCGGGGGTGTCCATGAAAAAGACATTGCTTGGATGGCAGCATAAGTTCACAAATGTGTAAGTTACCCATGCCTTGGGCACTAATGCACCCCCATACCATCACAGATGCTGGCTTTTGAACTTTGCGTCGATAACGGTCCGGATGGTTCTTTTCCTCTTTGGCTTGGAGGACACGATGTCCACTATTTCCAAAAACAATTTGCAATGTGGACTCATCAGACCATAGAACACTTTTCCACTTTGCATCAGTCCATCTTAGATGAGCTCGGGCCCAGAGAAGCCAGCGGCGTTTCTGGATGTTGTTGATAAATGGCTTTCGCTTTGCATAGTAGAGTTTTAACTTGCACTTACAGATGTAGCAACGAACTGTATTTACTGACAGTGGTTTTCTGAAGTGTTCCTGAGCCCATGTGGTGATATCCTTTACACATTGATGTCAGTTTTTGATACAGTGCCACCTGAGGGATCGAAGGTCACAGGCATTCAATGTTGGTTTCCGGCTGGACCGTAGATGTTGAAATCCCTAAATTCCTTACAATTGTACTTTGAGAAATGTTGTTTTTAAACTGTTCGACTATTTGCTCACAAAGTGGTGAACCTCCCCCCATCCTTGCTTGTGAATGAATGAGAATTATTGGGGAAGCTGCTTTTATACCCAATCATGGCACCCACCTGTTCCCAATTAGCCTGCTCACCTGTGGGATGTTGTGTTTGATGAGCATTCCTCAAATTTCTCATTTTTTTTCTGCCACCTTTCAAAGTTTATGAGTTTTAACATGAAATATCTTTGTAGTGTATTCAATTGAATATGGGTTGAAAAGGATTTGCAAATCATTGTATTCTGTTTTTATTTACGTTTATCACAATTTCCCAACTTCAATGGAATTGGGTTTTGTACTTCAAGGAAATGATCTGCTGCACTTGGTAATGGACTCACCAGGGCTCCCAAGCAAGCAGTCGGCAACATTCATCTCTCTAGGGGGTGTCTAACTCGGTGTTACGGTGTGTTTGACCATAACTTAAATTTACGCCAGAATATCCCTTTAACTTTAGACACAGGTGGCAACCTCTTACCTGTGTCCTGAAAATAGTTTGACAAATAATAAATCGACATTTGGTGAGTATAAAAACCCAACGTTCCCCAATCTTTATGCTAATTTTGGGCAGGCTGATGTTATAAATGGGAATACAACATTAATAATTACTTAAACATTTCTTCTTTTTCTAAAATTGTGCCCTTGTTTTTGCCCAGTTTTAATGCACACTGACACGTTGGCTTCTACTTAGACGTCTGCTTAATGTAGAGTTTTTCGTCCGTTGTCACATTTCCCAGCTTATAACTGTCACACAGGCTGGCACATGTGCCTTATACACTTTACTGTTTTACTTTATATAACTGTTTAAAAGTCTGATTGGGCCTATTCCTGTAGCCCAAATTATTCACTCATGTAAACCCTGCTGTAGAATCAGCAATAGCGTAAGGCTGGAGGTTCGCCCGTATGTTTCTTGTTGGTCATTTCTTTCCTGGCTCAACTTTGCTGCAAACCGACTCGAGCCAAACTTTATCTCTTGTCAAATATTTGAAAAAAGCAGAACTTAAAGCATGATTGATTATGTGCAGTGTGTGTGTGTGTGTGTGTGTGTGTAACTGCAGATTTTTGCTGGTGGTGTTAATCTATGAACAAACACATTTCATATAAAAAGAGGACACTACATACAGTTTCTTGGCATATAATCCAAAAACGAGCAAAACAGGTAGTAATAACTGATCCATGATATCATAGATTTAGATACAGTAAAAAGAAAGTGATTGAAATTATACAATGCTGTTAAATGTACTTGTAAATTTAGTCTGGGCTAAACTTCAAGTGATAATGAGAAGTAATTGCTTATCATGGTGTTTTAAAAAGCCCAGCGGCTAAGCCTGTAGAAACAAAGAAATTGGCGTTAAGAACTGCAACCAAAGTGGGTTACTGGGTCATTCCTGGCTTTCAAGACCTACTTAAACGTCCTGTAAGGAACTTTTAACTAGATTTGAAAAAAACATCTCGATTCTGCTGATGTCTCCCTTTCACCTGCAACAGACATCTGTGTGAAGATGTGACATTTCTGAATAGTGAAAAGGGAGAAAATGGGAGCCAGTGGTCGGGTAGAGATGACGAACAAAATGATTTACAGCACTCAGACCAGAGACGACATGTGTTTTTTTTTTCTTTATTTTGCACTGAAAGTGCACATATTACTGTCACTACACAAACAGTGACAACGCCTTGCAGCAGGAGACTCCTGCAGACACTGTATCATGCTAGAGCTGCAGCCATGGAGTGAGACGCTCCTCCACACCACAGACAGACAGGCAGAGCAGCTTTGTGTCACTAACCTCAGTAGTCCTGCTGCTCCACAACTGTCTCACACTCCGCGGTGGGCTGACCCAGACTCGCTACCCATTTTAAACACATTTACAAAGTAAGTTGCCTCAAACTGCTCACAAAAAAGCTAGTTTCTGGAGCCCTGACGTGCAAGCCAGATAAGTGTCTTTATGACAATACGCACTAAAACACTTCTGCTTTTGTCCATAGTGGCTGCCAAAATCAACAGAAAATGAAAAATCCGTCCAGCTGCTTTAATATGTGAGCCAGTCTGATTTATTCAAATAGCAACATTATAATGTATGTCAAATCAAATAAGTTTCAACTAGCAGCTGATTTTATCCTCACAAAAAAACACAGGTGTCTTCATCCTAACAGCTGACTTCTGCGTCTCTCACGCAAAGCCGGCCTGCAGGGAGGTGTAGTGTCTGTGTGTGTTAGTGTCTGTGTGGAAATTTGTCGGCCACAACTATCTCTAATATTTCACACCCCTGTGTTAAGAATGGGGGAAGTCTAGTTGTGGTCTACGCAACACAGAAAGTACTTGACTCCCTCTAGGCAGTCTGTCATTGCGGTGAGTGTTCAAACAGAAGACATCATGCCCGTCTAAAGGCCACAAACTATGTCCTGACACCAACTTTTGAGTCATCCGTTCTCCCGACACAAGTAAAACCAATGAGATTTCTTTGATTGCTGTCTCTGGGTGTCCTTGTATCCGCCCTGCTCATTTGTGTCCTGTTTAATTATTCAGAGCCTGATATGAACTATACTTAGCCGTTTGATGTGCTCTTGAACCTCAACAGCTGGTACCCTGAAAATTACAGTCGTAGCCTCTGATTCCACCACTAGGTTAATGTACAGCTTAGTCATACTGGTACAGATAGTTGGGGTAAACAGGAGAGCACACACTGACTTTGCTGACTTTGCTGTAACCCGACATGAGACCAAGGCTAGAAGGAATTATAGGCTATTGAATAAACAAAGACTGTAGAGGAGTAGCAGGGCGTGCTGCCTTCAGGAAAT